CAGCGAGGAAACACAGTATTGGTAGACATAACTCTCTCAAGATGGTAGCCAACGTAATTAATGAGGGCAATTAATATTTTTAAAACAATGAACTAAAAGATTATATTAAGGGATATTAATCTGAAAAGGCTGCCACGTGCATTTAGCCAATTCTAAATGACTGTCTGTAATCTACCCCTCTATAATAATGTAGTAACACAGTAGTACAGAGAGGGAACATATTAACTTAAATATCAAATCCGACAACAATAACTACAGATATCAAATCCGACAACAATAACTATATAGAGTTATTGTTGTCTGATTTGATATTTAAGTTATGTTCCCTCTTTGTACTGCTGTGTTACTAATTCGATTAATCAAAATAATTAATTCATTTAAACGAAATAATTAATTCGTTTAAACGAAATAATTAATTCGTTTAAACGAAATAATTAATTCGTTTAAACGAAATAGTTATTTCGTTATAACGAAATAGTTATTTCGTTATAACGAAATCTTAATTTGTTTAAACGAAATATTAATTCGTTATTTCGTTTAAACGAAATATTAATTCGTTTAAACGAAATAATATTTTCTTTTAAACCTATTAATTCTTGACCCCAATGTATTCGCCGTGTCGAGTTCATCTTTCTGTAAGGAAAATTTTTGCTCCACGGGGCACCCTTGAATTGTGTCCTGTTTATCTCACGTTTACATAATGCAATTCAAACAATTGAGTGAAAGTGATGCAAATAGGTGTGTTGTTCCATTACACCAAAACCTTTAGCATTATTTGGGTAGGGATAAGTTTTAATTATTACTCAGACGATACGATACCCTGTCTAATTACCCACAAAATGGATCGATTCAAGGTAGCTGCATGCATATTACACGTATACTATATATTACATTTCATAACGCAAACCGTTTTTACTTTGAAAGGGGTGTTGGATGGCCGAATGGTTATCACGTGCGCGCTGTATCATAAGGCCTGTCGTTGAGTCAACTGGCGTGGGTCGCCTGTCCAATCTCGTGGGTTTTCTCCGGGTCCTCCGGTTTCCTCCAACTGCTAAAGACCCCTACACGCATGCGAATTATTGAAATAAAAAAAATTAAACCATATGTTAGTCCCGAAATGACCTAGTTTGTGTCGACTGGACGTTAAACCCCATTTTTGATACAAAGTGGTTGTTTTTTAGTTAGATAATAATCTCATACTGTCCATTATGTGAATAGAAAGTACCGGCGAAAGTACTCCACTGCCGATTATTTGAATAGGAATTATCCTTTCCTCTATTATACATCACATAAACACAAACGAACTGATCTCACTCTAGAACCCAGTTCTCGAATTTTTCAATGGATCGAAAATGCCCAACAGTTTCAAAATAATGATAAAAAATATAAGAAGACAAAATGCGTTAAAATAAAATCATAGCTATAGAAACTGGTTTGATATTATTAACTCGATTTTACCTGTGGTTTTTTGGAATCGTTTTCTTTTATTATCGCTTACGTCTTATTTTCTTACAAAAATATCAAGAATTTTTTTGAATCTGATTCACATCACTCATGTAATTTCAGTAGACAAGACCATGTAAACGTGTGTCACCGGAAAATCTTGTAAAAAGTCGTGTATCAACAATTACTTGTCAAGTTTAGTCGTTCGAATGGGACGATAAACCGAAGCTACATGTACACATTGGCGTACACGTAAAAGAACCCCTGACAGTTGAAATTCGAAATAAAAGTAGGTCGTTATGCCACTGTCCTGGCAAAATTTCCCTCATAGCACACTGTATGGAGTATGCCCGTCTTCATTATCCCAGTAGGAGCAGAACATTTCACTTGCAGAGTTATCCCCCTTGTCATAAAAATCTTGTAATCATTTCTATGGATACGTGTGCATGCCATTTTCAACTACCATTGATCTGTTGCATACAAATCCAAATCGGTCACAAGACCTCGGTTTTCCGTTCCCTTCCAAACGACTAGACCTACTATGTTTTTTAGCAAAAAAATCGCAACCTAATAATATTATTTCATTTATCCCGTAATAGGGTAATTTTAACTAATTTAGAGCTGATTGACTGGGTTTGATGACAATGAAACTGGTTGGGCACCGTCAATTGCCAAGTGACCAGGCTGGGTTTGAAGGACACGTGGGTAACTTTGAATTAATTAGTTGAAAATTTTATACAAGAAACAAAAGCGTGTATAATGGTTAAATTTAAGACTTTTTTTTATTTAATTGACTGAATTTAATAATAAAATGTGCATGTAATGTGCCTATTCATTTCATTGAAAATCGCCTTAAACGAAAGATTCATTGTATTCTTTATACTGATTTAGACGAAACTGTTACAAACGTCTGAAAACAGACCCAACAGCCAGCGTACCACAACTGTACTGCCATGCAATAACAAAAGTACGAACATAACGACCAAAAGTACCAGAATAAACCGATTGACAAGCCGTGTGAACATGCCACATAATAATTATTGTGGGGTTTCCATAAAGAAGTATTTTTTACAAATAAGAAAATACCGTGAATGTCAATATGACTCTAATAATATTATCTCAATTCAAGTGGAAATTATTGATGAAATAGCTGCGTTATACAAGACTATTATTGAACTAGTGTTTTCGCGTAGCTTCCTTATAACCGTTTGCCGACTTCAGCCTCACTGCATTTGAAGGTCAAATGACTCGGGATCAATTTAGCATATTATTTAGTCTGATTGTTACTTATTACTACTATATATATATTACGTGTATTATTCTTATTGTTCTCGGACTACTTGTGTTCATCATATTATTCAACAAAATCAATAATAATTCGGAGACCCCCCTCCCCCTCCCGAAACCCAGATAAAACCAGTTTATCTTTTATTTCACACACTCAACAAATGAGTTTATGTCTCGGCGTACAGTTTGTCGACTGAATCTGTAAGTAAACTGTCCTGGCCTTACCCTGATTAACATCTCACGTGTGATTAGGGGCGCAAGGGGTGTGACAACCTATATTAGGCTATAATGTAACATATGGCGATAATTGCCTTAAACCAGATTTAATTCTATTAGGAGACTGCGCTCTTCTGGATTAAATCTTCTGTTGGACATATGGTGCTGGTTGGCTACACAATAGCTATATGCCAAAGACATGCCACATCAGCAACGATGGCTTGGTGACGGTCATCGTATTCGTGTATCAACAATTTCATAGTGCACATAAAATGTGCAGGACTTTACATAAAATGTGTGTGATCAAGCATTACATGCGGGATAAGAAATATACATACCATCTGTAAATTAAAATTGTCGTATTTGTTATAAAGTCGAACATTATTGAATATATACTAAAATTAAACATTACCTACCACAAATAAATTGCTATCGATGATACTTTTTATTATTCCCTCTACACTAAATTCAAATACAAATTGTATTTTCAAGAAACATCTAAGTAGAAATAATGGTTTTATGGAGCGATATGCTGGTTAACATTTTATCACAATTTTACAGTTGAATTATGTAGTATTATAGTTTAACAAAATGAAATCAAACGTCATTAAATCCCATATGTGACAACGCTGGGGAAAAAACAATATAATAGTACTAACAAAACCACGTAGCTTATATTTATTCTGGTGGTGAATGCTCATCAAAGTCTGACATTTGTAGAAATCAAACAAACCAATAAATCTAAATTTTTGTATAAACTTCATCGTATTACAATAATCAGATATTGTTTTAATAGTACTTAACTACGACTGCAGCCAAATTTATTACAATTTCACATATTGAAACTTGAACGTCATTGAAACCTAAACATGTATTACACTATCATGAATATGAATTCCTCCCATCCCGTTTTTTAACCATCTAGACTAGAATATGTTTAATTTTTTAGTAGCAATTTGTACACGGTTTAAATAGAAGATGGAGGTTTATATACCCAATGGAATTATTTAATCTCATTTCATTCCCTTTATAAGGCATTCTGTTTAATATTTCAAGCCCAGCCTGTCAAGGTCGTATTATATATCGAGATGAAGTAGTTTGCACAATAATTTCATGTGTGGAAATGGTCAAATAATGGACAATATATATATAAGAAGTACTTGTACTTTATTGCATAAATAAATAAAAAAATCCGTCCAGATAAAAAATTCTCCACTTTACTTCATTCTGACATACATAACATGACATAAATCTCTCTCTCTCTCTCTCTCTCTCTCTCTCTCTCTCTCTCTCTCTCTATATATATATATGTGTGGGTGTGTGTGTGTGTGTGTGTGCGTGTGTGTGTATATATATATTACTCCATAGCCTAAACTTATACATATCGACATCCCCCGGGGACTGACTGACAGTTATATATGCTTTTTTGCAAGCAATTGATACCGAACCGATCTCGAGTAACCTGAATACATCAGAGAGCCTCGATTCCGGTTGACATCCGGGCGCTTAATCTTGGCGAATTTTACCTTTTATAGTGGGTTCGAGTTGTTACCACAAACCATGCGACTTCTTCCAGCAATAAACTGACATGTCGTAAACAGTCGAATGTTCACAATTCTTAGCTAAAAGCGGATTGAATTCTCCTCATACCATTTGGAAATACTGTGTGGTTAATCGTATGAATTTTTAATTCCTCTATCAGAGACGTGAATATATTTGTACATGGCATCCAAAAACAGGAAAGTCTTTGAGATGTTTCAGGATTAACATGTCATGTGACTTTCAGTAGAATCTTAAAGATTAAAACTCTGTTAAACTAGATATTCTTCATGTGCAACAGTGATATATATATATTTATATATATTGGTATTTTTATTCCTGTAGTTAGCTTCATTTACAAAAAGCTCGGTTTACCTCATACAAGCTGGTAGTGTCGTGCTGGAAAAATCAATATTATTCTCATTTTATATGCTGGACGTATAGAACGTTAGCTACTTCATGCTTTATGCTGATGACGATTCTGTGCGATTCCGACACGGTTGGTTGAACCTAGATTTGGCCAGCGGTCAACTGTTAATTAGGACACACGTTAATTACGACATATACGTGGTCACTTCAATTGGAATTGTACAAGAAAGCCCGTCATTGCGCCAGATAAAACTCTTCACATGTTGCAATGATGGAAGTTCTGGAAATCAATATGGCGGCCTGTTTTTCCTGTCTATTCTGTACCAGATATTGAATGATTTCAGTTCTGTTACAGTGTCCAGAACATGCTTTCACAACAAGGTAAGCTTCTTGAAAATATTTTATTTATGGATGTATACGACTGCAGGGTTCTGAACTTGACGCACCCACGTATTATAATATTACAGAGAACTGCGAAACGGTAACGGAGCGAAGCTGTTGAGTATGTTATATGACGGTATGCCGACTTTCTCTCTTTACAACATCTATAAAATGAATTAATGTTAAATACGCTATTTGACAAAGAACACAAACTAACTGATTACAATGATTTCAATGCATGGAATAATAATTTACAATGGTTTCAAAGAATAAAATAATAATTTACATTGGTCTTTATTTATTGGTCTGTGGATGCAATTATTATCAATTTAACCTTTATTATGTCAGAATATGACAACAATTCTACCTTCAATACATCCATTTCCCCATATCTCACTTATATTTATTTTCTGTTTTAAATGTTGTTTATTCTTTAAGCTTATCAAATTTCTAACTAATTTTGGATTACATTCGTGAACTTGATAATGACCAAAATGTAATTTTAAGAAAAGGTCATTTCATGTCAACATCCTTTAATTATTAGTCCTCCACTTCGATTAACGTTAAAGATGAATACCGACCAAAAGAGGTATTACCGTGCAATAAACTCAACAAAATATCTACATTAGCTTTTAGTGTGCAAAACAGATGAAAGTTAAAACAGGAACCTGGTATGGTAATATCTCATTTTATCTAAAATAGTCTTTATCAAGTTCATGGATGCGAACATAGAACTGCGCCTTCAAATTAAGCATGTGCTCTTATTATTTTCTTATTTTTTTTATATCGACCCAATTTTATATTTTATTTAAACATGGTCAATGCAATGAATTGCATACAGCAGTATGGCGTATTCCTTATGTATTATAAATTATATTAGCATACGCACTAATTACATAGTGTTAATAGGATAGGGATAGAGTATAGTTGTTTGTGATCTGTCAGCTGTCGCCTGTATACAATATATAAAAAGGTTAATAGAATAGTATAGAATATATAATGACAATCTATCAGTTACATGCTACACAATAGATGTTTATATGGTAATATACATATAAATGTTTAATATACTTGTTTTATTACAGCAGATATAGGTTATACTAATCAATTACACATACATTACAATATCTTAAATATTTATTCACAATGTATTTGTACAGTTGACTACATTAACATTTTTTATGCACAAAATAGTCAGTTCACGTAAAACATATCTACACTTGTTCTATAATTAATAACTCTTTTGTAAGTTTTATAATATAGTACATTTATTTAATCATTAATAACCATATTTAACAAGCTTATTTTACATCATTCTGTTATCAAATGAATATATGTTCACGTGCATCATTTATTTATTTCACTATCATCTATTTCTCTTCATCACTATTAGCTATCTATCTTCATCACTTTTGAAGTATTTCTCTTCATTACTATTAAACTATTTATCTCATCACACTTCAAGTCAGCTATATAATTCATCAGAGATTAAGTTTATTTTTTAGGGAAGTTTAAATAGCTAGCGTTGGCTTCTCTGAATCCCAGTCCAAATTATCACCCATTAGCTTATTGTCTCCCTTTAGTATACCTCTCGTGTTCAGGATAAATTAAACCTCACACTTATACAACTTTATTTCGGGGAAAGTGCAGTTGAACGAACGATTAAATTCAACACTTCCAAAATATAGTCATAACAGATGTAGAAAAGCAAACCATGTTTTGTAATATCGCTCAGTGGATCATGCATACATTGTCATGCTTCAAACGATGCAAATAAGTTGTAGCGCATACAGAATATTGACCGAATTTGTCGTTTTTCCCACTATACTGGCTAAAATGGCGTTGTGTAAACAACAAAAAGAAAAAACCCCAAATACAACAGTATTGGTTGTACTCTATGATACAATTTATTATAGATATGTCCTGAAGTGTTTCCTGATACAATGTGTTGTGGTCTATCTCATAAACCGCAATTTATTACTTTATTTGACGGTTGATGAAATTTGTGAACGGATTTAGGAAAGGTAAGGTTTTACAACCAATTTCCCTAACATCAGATCACCAAAATATAAAACAGATCTCTCCCAAATACTTTTTTGCGACGTAATATCATAACGATATGGTCGGGGAGCTACCAATATTGAATCAGTTACAGTATCCTAAATATAAAAGGTTATAGTACGAGAAGCCTAAATCTAGAGATGACCCATGACATCAAAGACTATTCAGTACACAGCTTAATTCATAACTTTCCACGATGACATACAAGCATTCGGGGATATTTATAGACTAAATGATCGAATCTAGCAAGTCATTGTACGCCTACTGACAACGGACGGGTCAAACATATAACTTAGTGATGTTTCATCAATCTGTTTCACAGAGGATTACGAAAGTCTTCTAATATCTCTGTAAAAGATGACTGCCACAGCACGCAGCATCAATCACTGGCTCAATGGCGCGTGCATTGTTTACATAAGACGTTACTGCTTGGACAGAATGCTGTCTTTTACTCATTTTAATATCCATTAAATTTACACAAATAGGAAATGATTTTTACCTACAAATACGTCAAACGTCTTTGTTTATTTGTCTTATACATAAAAAAGAGGTTTTATAATTTAATTTGTCGGTGGAAAAAAGTTAATATTTGGGGCTTATTAAGTCGCATTAATGTCATCCTTATCAGTGATTGTAGCCGCCTAGCGAATATTCACTGCTGATCAGTGTGATGTTTCATGTGTTTCAGACTTTACTAAAGCGTTTTGCGTTTTTCATCATTCTAAGGTCATTTTGCAAAGTTATGTAAGAATATAATTGAAAATGATTACATAAAGAAAATTGTACGTACATTTTAACAATTATTGGCCATTGGCGCCCGTAACAATATTATTAGCACTTTATATCGATCCATGAATATATGCCGAAAAATATTCTGGCACGTTGTACAAGACACGTGGTTTGGGGTCCATTGAGAGTGCGCGTTCTTGGCATGGTTCTCGATTATTCTGCTACTTATTCCATGTGACAGAAATAATACAATATACCTCAAGGTAGTTGAATCGATTATGTAGGTCTAGCCTTATTTTTCTAAGATGGATGACTCATACATAGTAATAAAATAGACTATTCAAACAGCAAGTGCTAAGAATGTTCTTAGCAGAGAATTGGTCACAGGGAAAATTGAAATATAGGCTTGCGAGTTTCCCCAGAATAAAAGAAAGTTTTAGAGTTATTATGGTAGAAAGTATGGTTACCATTTTGGTGTCGAAGTTCAAGAAAACCTGTTAGCTATGTTAAGTTTCCATAGATTAAATGTCGTGCCAACTTACTTTTTAAATTTTAGAGGTGCGTAGACCCTAAATCGTACTTTACACGATAACACTTTGATTTTACAACACAAAGTGGCTGTATCTGGGAATTTAAGTAGAGTAGATGGAAATAATAAAAGTCCAAGCTAATATGTAATGATGGAAAAGGGACTCCCTTAAATTAGAATAATAAGACATATATTTACCTACTTCAGTAAGGCCTGTGAGATTCCATGGGTAATAAATGAAATGAAATTATTATTATTATTATTATTATCATGGTGTATTTATATAGCGCATCTTTCACCTAAGTGCCCAGATGCTCTTTACAAACTTAAAAAAGATACAAGACTGTATCACAGTTAATAAAAGGCTTTGGTAAATAAAAAAGTCTTGAGTTTTGCTTTAAAAGTCGAAAGTGATGCACATTTTCTTAGGCTAAATGGTAATTTGTTCCACAATTTAGGAGCTTTTATTGAAAAAGATTTCTCTCCAACCGATACTTGTTTTGCATTTCTTTTTATCAGCAAGAAGTTGTCGTTACTTGAGCGGAGTTGGCGAGATGGTTTGTACAAACACAATAGCTGCGAGAGGTATAATGGCGCAAGGTCATTTACACACTTGTGGGTGAAAAGCAGAATTTTATATTCAATTCTATAAGTTATTGGGAGCCAATGGAGATTAAATAGTATTGGAGATGAGACAAGTCGCTGAATTTTGTAGTTTTTGTAGTCTGTCCAACGATTTATTCGGAACACCTGACAGCAATGAATTAAAATTGTCTAGTCGGAGATAACTAGGGCTTGTATAAGTGTTTTTGTTGCATCAATTGTTATAAACTTCCTAATTTTGGCAATGTTCCTCAAATGTAAGCCGCCTTCACACATTGTTAATCTGGGACTCCATATTCATGTTAGAATCAAAAATACACCAATGTTTCGGACTGCAGTAGAATTAGCGACTCACCAACACGAATAGAAAGATCACCATCTAGCTTTGAGAGGTTGTGTTTTGAACCAATTACCAAATATTCTGTTTTGTCATCGTTAAGTTTAAGGAAATGGGATTTAACGCCCTACTGTTTTGCACCGACATGGTCAATGAAGATGAGCATGCGCCGTACAGTGTGCTATGAGGGTAATTGTGCCCGGACAGCGGTACTACGGCCTACTCTTATTTCGAATTCCAACTGCCAAATGTTATTTTAGTTGCACGGGTTATTGTTTTTTCGTCCTATCCGAACGACCGAGATTGGGTAATGCAAATTATATATATCCCATAACAGATTATAGAACCAAATTCGTCACAAAAAGAAATTGGCATTTCTTTTGATTTTAGTCTAATTTTCAACTTACATTTGAAACCAATTTGCTCTGTTGTCTTTTCATCTGTATCAATACAATCCATAATTACCTGAACAGCATTAAATTACAATTATTTTACAAAAAGAAATTGGTATATAGCTCTGGTATTTGGTCCCTCAATTATTGAATCCATATTCAACAGCATTCTAGACACGACTATAAAACCTTTTATAAAATGAACAAATTTCGCCAACCACCAAATTGAAAAATTATAAATATTACCACATGCAAACTTCCAGAAGCTTATTTAACGAAACAAATCCAACCGTTTATATCATGAAGTCAACACCTAGGCCTGAGCTCAATCAAGGATAACCCAAAATTC